GGCTCAACTGTTGATGAATTGCGTACCAGAACCCACTTAGTTCTGCAACGCCTCCAGGATAATGGTTTTCGCCTTCGCCCAGAAAAATGCCAATTCTTCTTACGTTTCGTTAAGTACCTGGGGTTTATCTTTGATGCTTCCGGACGACACCCTGATCCTCAAAATACTTACGCAATCCAACAAATGCCTGCTCCCACTGATGTCTCCTCACTGCGATCATTTTTGGGGATGATTAGCTACTATTCAGCATTTCTTCCGTCACTGCATGACGTACGATATCCATTAAATCGCCTGCTAGAAAAGAATGCTACTTGGAATTGGTCAACGCAATGTGAATCAGCCTTTTCAAAACTTAAAGCCATGCTAAGTTCCAATCTTCTGCTAACCCACTACAATCCGAAACTACCCATTGTGGTTGCTGCTGACGCTTCAACACATGGACTGGGTGCCGTAATCTCACATGTCTTTCCCGACGGGTCAGAGAAAGCGGTGATGCACGCTTCGAGAACACTAACACCTGCTGAGAAACGCTACGGCCAGATAGAGAAGGAAGCGTTAGCCCTAATATTTGCTGTCCGGCGATTCCACAAATTCATTTATGGGCGCCGTTTCACCTTGCTCACAGACCACAAACCTTTGTTATCAATCTTTGGATCAAAGAAAGGCATTCCTGCCCATTCTGTTAATCGTCTTCAACGTTGGGCGTTGGCGTTATTGGGGTACGACTTCGACATCCAGTATCGACGTTCCGAAGATTTGAGTCAAGCGGATGCACTGTCCAGACTTATCAGTAACCATTCTACCACTGATGAGGACACACTCATAGCCACAGTATCAACCGAAGAGGATTCCGGTGCTACACTATTGGCGAATGCCGTTCGAGCAATGCCTGTTACCGCTGAAGATGTTCGGGAAGCTACCAGAGAAGACCCGATTATCCAAAAAGCGATCACCTATGTTCAGAGCAGATGGCCAGTTAAGCAGCTAAGTGGTGATATGCAACAATTAGCGAATCGTCGCAGCGCTCTCTGTATTGTTAACGATTGTCTGATGTTCGGTGATCGCGTAGTAATTCCAACAACCCTACGTTCCAAAGTCCTACGCCAATTCCACTCTGGACACCCAGGGATAAACCGTATGAAATCTATCGCTCGAAGCTATGCATATTGGCCAAATATGGACAAGCAGATTGTCGACTTCGTCAAAAGATGTTCACATTGTCAAAAAGCTGCGAAAAATCCTCCTAAGTTGCCTCCAGTACCCTGGCCAAAGTCAGAAAAACCCTGGTCGCGAGTGCATATTGACTTCACCGGACCCCTAGATGGTACCACATATCTGATACTGGTTGACTCATACTCCAAATGGCCGGAGATATTGCCGATTGCGCCACCCTCTACAACTCGAACCATCAAACTCCTCAATCGGATCTTCGCTCAGCATGGTCTTCCAGAAACAATAGTAACAGACAATGGTTCACAATTCACATCTAGCCAATTCCGAGAATTTCGCCTGCAAAATTCGATCAGCCATGTTCGTTCTCCGCCATATCACCCCCAATCTAATGGACAAGCTGAAAGGTTCGTTGATACATTTAAACGAGCCATGCTCAAAGCACGAGGGGAGGGGACCACAGAAGATATCATAGAACGATTCCTAGTCGCGTACTGGACGACTTATTGCCAAACTCCAAATCCCCTGCTGAGATGCTTATGGGGCGAAAGCTACGGACAGTTCATGGTGGGATGAAACCCAAGCAAGTGGCCCAGCAAAGCCCCCAGATGAAGAATACTCGAATTCCCTACGAAGTTGGTACAAAAGTGTATGCGCGAGATTATAGACATGGATGCGATAGATGGGTAGAGGGTGAAATCACACAAAAACATGGGAACGTCATGTATGATGTCAAGGTGAACCAAGAAATCTGGACCAGGCACCACAATCAACTCAGGTCAAGGGAAGCGAAGGAGAAAGAAGCAATTACAAAACATGTCCCACTCGACTTGCTGTTGGACACGTTTCAGCTTCCGCCAATACCTCCAACAGAGACGACTAAGTCATCTACTCAAGTAGAACATCCTTCTGGTTCTGTGTGGTTGCCTCGGAGGTCGGATCGCAAAAGAAGACACCCAAAGAAACTTCAAGTAAACCCTCGGTTACGTCGCTATTAACTTCTCCAAAGGGGAGGTGTTGGGATACTCAGAGAAATATCCCAGAAACAATTATCCGGTTAAGTCTAACGCTACCCTTGAACGTTAAATGGTGTCATTTCCCTATTGGTCGTTTCCCTACTGATCAATATTTATTTCGCGTGTCATTTTCCTATTGGTCAATATTATTTAACGTGTCATCTTTCTGTTGGTCAATATTTATAGTAATCCTAACTGTATAAATATGCATTTGTTTGTAAGTCGTTTTTCTGCTGCTCCTGACCCCATAAACGAATTTTCATCTACGGTTCGTGTTCTGATATATTGGAGATTGGGAACAGTATTGGGGTCGAACTGGGATATCTGAAGCTTGTCAATTGGTAGAATTTAGAGTAGCCAACTCGCGATTCACAATATAATCCTCTTTTGATCCTATTAAGTTGGTGAGTTTTCTCAAGATCACTTTATCTTCGCTCAAAGATCGCCCATAGGTTAAAATCTCAGCGACAAAACTATATCTTATGTAATTTCAACGTTTTGCCTGATTTAAACTTGAATATTACTGTTTTGTAAGAGGTATAAAACAAAAATCTAAAAATGAGCATGATATTGATAACTTGGGTAAGAGGCGAATAAAAAGAATTCATCAAACCCAATAGAAAAAGTAATGATGTTTTTTACACTATGTTGGTATACAATGATAAGCAATTGTTTTGTTACATACATTATATTATGTTTCAAATGGTTGGTGCAACTAAAACCTTAACGTTTTCACCTGCGTATCTAAGTCAGCCTGTAAACTTGATGAATATGTAGTGTCCAGTTCTCTGTCAAGCCTACTTGAGTTATTCAAGCTTCTAGACAGATCAATCTATATACAGGAGTTATATTTTTACCATATCGATTACTGGCTTATAACCTTAACTGTTCTTATATGAGGGCGTATGTGTGTTTATCGCCTACCCTTTTCATCACATGTCTTTAGTTTATTTTCGTCTGGCTAAAAATAGTGAGTCAAGCTACACCAAATGGCTTTGGTATACTTCCCTTATCGGCTTCTTTCCCCCTGTCTTCCTGCTTCTCATCTTAATGTCTGAGTGAACGAAAGTCTGAAATAAATACATCCGTATTTATCTTCTTATTTACACCATCTCTCAAACGGAGTTATCCTAGGTCTAATATACGGAGTTAAACGGAAGATTTATGTTCATGGAATATTTATTCGTTCGTCTAAATTGGAGTCAAATCTCGAGGCACTGAAAATCTTACTTTAACTGTTTAGGATGTATGTATCCATGTTGTGTAAATTTGTATTGAGCCATTGTTTATCAAGATGTTTAAAACTGAACCGTTATGTATAAAAAAGCTAAAAGGAAGAAAAATATAAGTTATTGTCCAAGTATTTTAAAAAGTTATTTCTATTTTTAATAAAATGCGTTTCATTAGCATTTAATAGATAATCGATGTGAATTCGGATATTTCCAATTTATAAGACTGACTAATTTGACTAGAACATTTAGATACATACCTTAATACTCTGTTTAATGAAACAATATTTTTAGATTTATAACTGTAGAGCATAATGAATAAGTTATTAAAAACCATTGTACGCTGAAATATTTCCTGTTTTGTGCAATATTTCATAGGTTTTTTTTTTCAAATTACTGAAAACAATGAATTTCATTAAATTAATACATAACATTAGTTCATTTTACCAAGGAACTGTCGGTTGCAACCATGCTAAGTAATATGTAGTCAACTCACGTACCAGAATAAAGCCTTACGTAATTAGCTTTGTGTCACACACAGCTCAAGACTGAGTGGGGTTCGAACTTGGAAATAAGTAGCTGAAACTCAAAACCTCTCAACCACTGAGCCATCGCTCAGCTTTTTAAAATCACGCAACACTCGGCACTCCCAGCCGGTCACCCATTCAAGCGCTAATCAAGTCCAACGTTGCTCAAATTTGATGATCCGATGGGATCGGGCATTTCCAAAGTCAAGTATAAGCTTTCTACATTACATAGCCCGATAAATAAATAAATAAATAAATAAATAAATATATATATATATATATATATATATATATATATATATATATATTCCTTTCCATACATATTGTTATTGATATGCATAGACTAGCTTATTCAACACATTCCGCTCTGAAGCACCATCTTCGGTGACCACCTGTTGTACGAATATAATCACAGCAGCTTCAATATAAAGGATTATTTGGTAACGCATAGAGGAGGTGGAAAATGTGAAGAAGTGGTCAGTTCTCGACATAGCACCATGATATGAAAGTAATACCTATTTAGTGTCCTACAAATGGTACAAGCAAATGGCTTAAGATGTTATGAGACATACTTCACAAGAGAAGACATTGACGATGCTGTTTTACTTTTCCTCTACACTCTTTATAAAAGTGGAACTCTCTTAACCACGAGAAGTGTTTCTTGTTTGTATTTTTAGCTGAACTGTGACTTCTATTACACAGTTTTCTTGTTCATTTATTGTATTCATTTCCAATTGATTTCTTTACGATGTCATTTCCTTATTTGTTGTGACCCTTATCTACTATTTTGGTGCCCATTTATACTTGCTTTTGTGTATCAAGTAAGTAAACAATTAATCTGAGTTGACATCATTTTATGGTGATGTAAAGTACATTGAAATCATATTTAACAAATGTATCGAAAAGTGTATTGGTTTTTTCCAAATTCTTTTCTGATTGGTGATACAGTTGAGAAACTTCGTAAGTTCAATACTCGAATAATAATATAAATCATATCTTATGTTTATTTTCTCAGAAGTATTGACCAGGTATCTCATCCTTTGATTGTTCTTTTCTAGTTTTGTTACAATGGTACTTGTAAAACAATCGATAATGTTCGTCCACTGTATTCATGTTATTGCAATGGTCGTGGCGTAAGTTCATTGTTAGTTAAATATTACTCTTTTTTGAAAAGAAAATATTATACAACATGGATCATTGCTTGTAGATAAATAAATTCAATATCGAAATTCATTATTATTAGTAATAATATTATTGCGATTATTTTAAAACTTTCTTTAGTCATGTCATAAAAAAATATTCGCTTTCTTGTAGACAAACAAACGAGATCCTAAAATATTATTTCACATTGGACTAAGTAAAAAACATCATGTAATCATTTCTTTATAGTGTTGTTGATTTTCTCGTGATATGTATATCGGGAAAAAGACACTGGGTTTAAATCCTAATGTGAACATCAACAATAGGATGCAGGCACATACAATCAGCCTTCCAGCCTCAAATAGGACAAAACACTCGTTCTCGATTTCACAGCTAACCACAATTTTTCAATTCGGTAAAGCTCATGATATCCATGTTTCAAATTATTCAAGTAAGAGCAGTAATTTTCCATTATCTAACGACGGGTGCCGTCTGTTTTCGAAAACAATGCTTACTTACGCCTGTTACCACTCGTGGAGCATAGGCCGCCAACCAGGATTCTCCAGCTAACTCTGTCTTAAGCTCTCCTTTCCAGTTGTCTTCAATTGCTACTTATTATTTTCATGTCTGCCTCCATGGTCTCAAAGTACATGAGCAACGCTTCGTAGACGCCTATGATCGAATACCAATAACATACGATTATCCTCTATTCTAAATGGCCTTTAACAAAATAATAAAGTAAAACAGAACAAACTGTTGCACAGTAAACTCCCCCCCTTTGGTCAGGAGACGTATTTCTCACCTACGCCATAAGTGAAGCAAGTTGATAAAAGCCAATAGAGCCTTCTGAATCGGTTTCGAGATTTAATCAGAAGTGAACTAAGTAACGAGAAAACCGAAAGTAGGTTCCAGGAACAACTGAGGTCACAATTAGGTAGTTCTGAAAACGAGACTGGCTCAGATGTTGCTTGGAAAGATATACAAACATCTGTGGAAACAGCAGTGACATCTATCAGTGATTTAAACCACAGGGTTACAAAGAACCAGTGGATTTCTTCAAAGTCTATCACATTGATGGGTTCTCGTAAATTCATCCCACCGGGCCCTGAACACGATGAAGAGCGAAAACAAATCAGACCTAGGTTAACCAAAAGTCTAAGGAACGACCGTGAGCAGTGATGAGCAACGAAGGCAAAAGAGATGGAAAAGGCGACGACTGTAGGGAACACAAGACTGCTCTACAGACTAATAAAAGAAACTGGAATTAATAAGTCAAGTGTAAGTGAGATTATTTCGGATAAAGACCATACTCTCATCTGCTCCCAGTCCAGACATTTAGAACGATGGGCAGAACATTTCAGAGAACAGTTCAACTGGCCTTCAGCTACTCTACAACTACCCTCCATTTCCAGACAGTGTGAATGGAACATTGAAGTAGGTCCCCCAACTCTAGCTGAAGTTCAAAATGCTATAGTTAGTCTGAAACGAGGAATGGCAACTGGTCCAGATGGATTGGCTCCAGAGGTCTTTAAGGATGGTGGTCCAATTTTAGCGATTAGGTTGACTAATATTTTAGCTAAAATCTGGGAGTTGGACGTAATCTCATCTGGCTGGTCGCAATCACTTATTATCCCGATATATGAGAAGGGGTCAAAATCATCCTATGACAACCATAGAGGAATTAGTTTAACTAATATAGCATCTATAATTATCGGGCGCCTAACTAAGACTCGTGAATTGCAAACACGAGAGAATCAAGCTGGCTTCAGACCTGGTTGTGGCTGCATCGACCACATATTCACCATTCGTCAGGTCCTAGAACACAGGCATACTTATCGGCGTCCGACAATGGTGGTCTTTCTTGACTTAAAAGCAGCATTTGACTTCTCAGGTACACCCTTCAGTGGTAGACACTGACATAGAAACTCACAACTAACAGAGTCGAACGTCGTCTTAAGGTCAAGGAACCCACCCATAGTTGGACGTCGAAAAGTATGTCTGTGTTCTATAACTTGCCAAAGGAATAATTTTTTTCGTCTATACGTCCACGTCTAGGTTTAAAATCAGACTAGTTTTCTCGAGCAGGCTCTTCATGAGCTCTGGTTAGATGCCGAAATATTACTGAGGCTAAACACGTTAAAGTTTCACCTCTTCTAGAGTTTCTCCATCAAGTGTGATTGGGTTGATGTCCTCTGTGTTGTATTTCAGTATCTTCCTTTTTCCTTTGTGTCTGTTGAGGCCTACTACTGTAGATGCTACTGCTACACTGGTTGTCTTCACCTGCATTTGTTGCTGTGTCATCTGCCAATTCCAAATCGTCTAGTTGCATCCAAAATAGCCATCGTATTCCGTGCTTCCCATCAGATATCGAGGTCTTCATAGTCCAGTCAACCACCAGAAGAAATAGAAAAGGAGCGAGTAGGCAGCTATTTCTGACTCCGGTTCTCACTTTAAATACAGCTGTTAGCTGTTCTCCATGCACCACTTTGTATTGTAGTCCGTCATATGAATTTCGGATGTGGTTGACGATCTTCTCAGGAACACAAAGGAAGGTGATGTATAGTGACGAGTTCCACCCAATTGGTTGTTCAATGATGATCTGTAATGTCGCGATTTGGTTTGTGCACGACCAATCCTTACGGAATTTAACCTGTTGATCTTGAAGCTGAGCCTCTGTTGAATCTTTCATTCGATTCAGTGATACTTTGTTGAAAACTTTTCCTTGTACCGATAGTAGTGTGATACTCTACAGTTCTCTCATTTGCTGAAGTCTCCTTCTTTCCAGTCTACCGGCACTTGCTCTTCATCTCAAATCTTCCTGAATAGATTGTGAAGCATCTTTGCAATTGCTTCGATGTCTGACTTCAGTGCTTAAGCTAGTATGTTGTCAGGTCCTGCTGCTTTCCCACCCTTGATTTGTCTGATGGTCATCCTGATTTCTTCGATCGTTGGTGGAGTGACATTTATATGAATGCCTGTGACTTGAGAATTATAACTTCATGGAATAAAAAGTACAATATAATTTTAAAACTTTAGACTCTAAGTGAATATGAATAGTAAATATATCTGCGCCATTAAAATCAATTCGGAAACAATGTTTTATTTACAAGCTTTACTTTTACTTTAGTCAACATCGATTCATTTGTTCATCTTCATGTATTCTGTTGCATCACAGATGTTTTTGGCTGTAATAAAATAAATATTAACGGCTGAAAATAATCTTAATTAATTTCTGTGTCGGTTACAAAATGCTTGTTACATAAAATTATTATTTTGTTAATATAATGGTGATAATTATCTATCATCGTCATCAGTTTTGCGTCTTTTTTGATAGTTTCAACATTGGACTTGCATTTGTTTAGCAACCTTTTCGTTTACCTTTTAGTTTAAACAGTCGATTACTAAGTACCTCTAGCTTTTAAATAGTCTGTATAACTCAAAACATTTAATTTATGTGTTTATACTGCATTAAGAAAATTTGACACCATTTATTCTATTGTTAGATGGTTGTAGGCAGTTGGTAGGGATCCATAGACCTTAGTTTCATACTGGTTGCCATTCGTCAAGAAGGCACGCACACAACCTTGAGCAAATCATTAGGGATTCAAACCCGGATCATTTAGTTTCACAATCCTGAGGCGTTACTATTGAGCCATTTGATCTACATTTTCATGCATAAGCTTCTGTCGGTACTAATGAGTAAACAAACATGACACACTAGCCATATCTTAGTGATCAGTCAATGTGCTTGTTTTAGCATTGGATGTTATTAGTGATTTCCTCTCACACTTCGGTTCATCTTTATCCATCTTTTACCATTGAATTGTGTGTTTAAATTCCTCTATATTTTTTTCATTTTCAAATACCTTTATTACAGATTTGTAATAATTTAGGACATTGTCATTGTTCACCCGGTTATAAACCACCTTACTGTGAAGAAGATGGAAATGGTGGCAGTGTAGACAGTGGGCCGCCTCCAATAAGTAGTAAGTTTATTAGTTCAAAAAAAACGATAATATTAATCTGAAGGAGAAAATAACCCTTTTTCATTTCGTCCAGCATTAACTGAAAATAATCCGTGATTTTGAAAAACACTAACAACGACAAATCTGTGAAAAATGAAATATTTTGTCAGTTATTTAAGTAGACAGATAACTAAATGAAGACAAACAACACAATTATAAATCAGCCGGTCACTTGTCAACAACATAAAATTAAAATAAATGTCCACATCACCTTGCTCTACCACTAACGCTCGATCAGTATGGTTGTTCACTTTGAAGAAGTGACTCACGTTAAATCACGAAACGTCAGAAATTCAGTTTTCTACTCGTTGGGATATCTGAAAATATATTTGTCATTTATTTGACTGTATAAGCTTGATATAAATAATCTATTTCCATTACCTTAAACAGGATACAGTAAACTTTAATACGTTTGAATACTGATCATCTTAAAGTTTCAAACAGTTATACATCAGAATGCTGAAAAAGTAAAACAAAGTGGTAACTGGTTGGAAACTTACTTTTCACAATAGTTTAATCTTTTTGTGCATTTACACAAATAATTGATTATATTCCATCTAACTACTTGTGTCCATTTAAGTAGCTGAAAGATATTGGAAATGTGTCGTAGAGTCGAGCTAACAGTTTGCAAGTGGCTATCTATATTAGACACTCTTGTATACTAGAGAAACTGCTTAATAGATAAAGTCCTCTTTCTTTTAAAAAAAATCAAGAGCTTATAATCTCTCTCTATTCAGTTATCTTTTGAGAAACGAAGTAGTATCATTAGACTGTTAATAGCGTAGACCTAATCTTGGCAAATGCAATTTTCTTGGACGATAAAAATTAGAGGAAGTGTTTTGAATAAACTAAACCTCACAATTCCCCCACCTTAATTTAGTAATTTCTTCCATTAATACACTTATATTAATTGTTCATTAGTGTAAGAATTGGGCGACTACCAATTTTGTGAAATCACTTATATATCCACTATCTAAACTCATCTTACATATTTCCTTTTTTTACTTTCAAGGGATCAAGGATAACACATTACTTGTTGTAATATGCATCCTTTTCTTTGTGATTTTACCTCTCATTGGATTTGGCGTATACTATGTATTTATACGTTCTGGTAGATGTTTAGTGAGCACATCAAAGGAGTTTATTTATACAAGTAGTGGCTTACGTAAACCATGTGATAAAAATTGTACAGAATGCTTTTGTCAACTATTCAGGTGAATGTTTTGTTTATTTATCTAATAGTGCTATTCCTCTGACTAATAATTAATAGACTCAAATATATACATATCCCATTGGAAAGTCAATCAGTTTTAATCAACACAGAGCCCGGTACAAATGTTTGTTAGCCTAAGTTGTTCCCATACCATATCAACGCGGCTGGGTAAAATTGACAGAAAGAATTGAACAAAATCTAAATAATAGTTGTATGAGTGATAATGAGAAGGACTGAGCATTAGAGAATACTGTTAAAAAGGAAGGGATGAATTCTAGAAGTGAAAAATATGAAGTGATAGTGATAGTCAAGAATGAAAGTAAGATAAAAATTTACTCTACAGTGATCGATTCTGACCGATAGCACCCACTATATCCAACCACTGGTCATGGGTAGCCCATGGACTTCAACCAGGTAGGCTACACCTATAAGTATGGCTCTTTTAAATGGTCAATAACTTCATAGATCTATCTCATATCTTAGTTTTTCTATCTATAGTTTTCTTACAACACCATTCCTAGGCTAACCAACTTTACAATTATAGCTAGGTGTTCACTGGTGATGTGTAAGACATGTGCCAGTTACCTTTACTGATTAAGACTATCGGCTTCATCAATTCACTCACCCTATTTGAAAGTCTTCACACAACAATCAAAAAGTAATTCTTGTAGAATTTGGGACTGATACTATATGGATAACTATTGGAAATCATAGCTTATCGGACGGACTTTTCGTTGGGATTCCCAGGAAGTACACACTAATAAACCCATCATGGGTCGAATCCATGACCTTTCATATCTCACAGTTCCCACACTGCCATCGAATACTGAGTTATTACACATTTCCAACAACAATAAATCCACTTAGGTGTATAACCTTTATTCATACATACTTGAATATTATATTCTACTGTTGTTGTTTTAAATAACTATTTTGGTACTCCTTTTTGTAACTTGTTTTTTCTCATCCATTTACATATTTGAAAAAAATATTTCCCAGTTTCCTAGTATCTTTCACAGAACTATTCACAAGATCTAGTCGTACAACAGTAATCGATGGTAGTAATACAATCATTGTGTCAAGTAATCATCATCATAACAACAAATTATTGTTTAGTAGGGTTAATTTTCATCTATAAAATTCACATTGATATATTGATCGATTTATTCCATGATAATATCGAGTTAGAATTAACAGTTCTTTCATTTATTCAGACAAACAATGATTGTATTTTAGTGAATATACAAAAATAATTTATCCTATACACATTTTTCTTTCTGTTCATCATCCATGATTTGCATGCCAAAATAATTCACTGATGAATTTATTTTTTCTATTCATTCATTAATGATTGATTATATATGTATGAAATTTCTTCTCATGCCTTTTTAGAAATTCACTTCGAAATATTACTTTTTCATAATGTTTTTCTGTTAGACAAAATTTTTGTATCTACACAATTTTCTGATGGATCTGTTCAGTAAATCATAATCAACTTAGGACCTGGCACAGATGTATGTCAGCCCAAGTTGACATGCCTTATTAACATGGCAAGATGAATAGCAAACGACATCGAAATAATGTACCATTAATAATAGAAAAGACTGAAAATTGTGTTCAAAAAGGTTAAAACTCAAAATCTGGAGAAAGATAAAGAATGTGTGAAATTGCTTCATTGTGACTGCCTCTAACGTGGATTGAGTAGAGTTTAAGCACTTACGAGTTATACTTTGGTCATTAAGCCATCCTTTCTTATTTTTCAGTAGCATACAATAAACATAGGAAAATAGAAATCAATATTGACTGAATCAATTTTCCTAGGGTTCCGGTTTTAAAAGAAACCTATTTTTTCATTTTTACATTTTAAAATATGGGAAACTTTAAAATTTTGATTTCATTTCGCCATTTTAACTATAAACCAGTGCTAAATATATTATTACCAGATATAAAACGTATTTTATAATTAGACAACACATTACTTTCAACCAAGAAATAAGTAAATCGTTTTTTGAATGTTCCCTAATTGCAAATGTTGTTTTCTATTCCTTATTTAAAACATCCTACAACATTAAATCTGGTTTATTATTGAAAATCTGACCTAATTTATAATTTTCAATTTTAAAATATCACGGTTTATTACCCGACTTTCTCATGTGATTCGATTTAAACATTAATTTTGTCATTATACTGTAATTTCAAGGTATTGGTTTAATTTAATAATTTATAAATCATTAGTATCCAACTGTGATTGCATGGGAAAACGTTGTATTGGATGTTCTTTTTGAAAACTTATAGGAATAATAGTTACTATCATTCCGTTTTTTCTCTGCTTAGAAATGACAAAGCCGAAAATTCAAAACAAAGTGATAGACTCGAAAAGCCGTACCCCTTACTTGCATTCGCAGCCTTCGATTCAAAAGTCACAGAGAATAAGGGATTCATCAACGGTCAAACCAATGGTTACTGCAATGTCACATCCAATGGTAAACTATCAAACGGTTCTTACAGACCAGTTAAACCAAAAACAGTCAGCTTTGAACCAGTGCCCTCTAAGAAAACAACTTCCAATTTCAATGGAGTCAAAACAACTTGCTCACAAAACACCTTGTTCACTAGTTCATCAACAGAAAATAGCACAAAAGCAGCAAACAAATATCACCGCACAGGTTCGAAAAGAGAAATTCCAACTTTAGTTTCTAGAAATGGTACAGTTGTGAAGTATATAATAAGATAAATACTGCGAGAATCCCATATTGTTTAAATTAATATATCCAGAAGAGTAATATTTATCACATACTATTCCATGGTCAATCTCCGATTATATATACTTCGCAGTGTGCAACTCTCAGACTGAAATAATCGCACTCAATAAACACATTAGTAGTTAAAATAAGACGGAAAAAGTCTAGATCTAAACTTATGGGGAAACATATTATATTAATTATGAGACAGATAAGGTCTACTTGACACTTACAAAAATGTCACTTTGATTTCAAATAAAAACAAGTTACCATAGTAAACAGCACTTCCAAATAATTAAAAAGAAATACATTTTTAAACTATGCTGATGATGAGAACCATTCTTCTTTCGAGGAAATAAAGTTAGGTTAGATTTTAAGCTTCAAAATACAAAAAAGCACTCCTTTCAAGAATGAGTGACATGAAACGTTCTTTTGTATAATAGCAACCAAAAGAGGAAAAAAATGATGAACATTTACAATAGCAACAACATCTTGTCTAATTAAAAAAACACATTGAAATTCAGTAGAATAAGAGGAGATAATGGTTCTTACTTACTACCCTTTTTCTTTCCTTTAATTCATGACGTAAAATAATTCTGTAGCTGATGAAAGGTAAAATAACAAAATATGGCTTGAAACACGTATTCGATTACAGAGTAGAAAAATCCAAAGCGTATGGTTTTACACTTTTCAAATGGGAGAGAAAAGTTACATTAATTTGTTTAAAAACACTGTACAACAAGGGAGTGAACTACATTCAGTTAAAAGAAACCTGTTTTTTCAATCAGTAACTCAGATTTTTCTAAAGGACTCTCAATTGCTAAACATATAAGTTGACTATTTAACTCAGTCTATTCAAAAAGGTAACGTCTCACCTAATGATCATTTGATTTTTTTAAATAAGTTGATACTTATATTTTGTGTCACAATGCGATACATTAAAATATTATATGCAGATTAAGACAGTACGGTGAAACAAGCTGTCCAATAGTAATCAACAAATTCTACTTGTTGTTTATCATTATCAGACCGCAAATGGTTTCTTTAGAATTTCTTATTAGATAATCCATTAGTTTACCCTTACTTGATAAACTTATTTTACTTCTCATGAGATTTTCTCAGGGTCCTTACTTATATTTTTGTTTCCCACTGATTTATAATACAGTTTTACTGGCTATTTATTTATCTGTCACAACAAACTCGATTGGTCTTGAGTATTTATTCTTCAACGCTACATAGATTCTTGTTTAAACTGGCGAATGTCTCGAGTCTGAGATATCAGTTTACATCTGAATAACTTTTATTCTAGGTAACGAAAAACTTCCCATGGTCTATCATTAAACTTCACTTCATAATGTAAATTAATTTCAAATGGATCACTTTTTATATATTTTAAACACAAAAATTAGCATAAAGTGGAACCACAATATCCATGCCTCATACAAATCTTTGAATGTGTATAGGCTTGGTTACTATCCGGGTCCCCAAATTGAAGCATGTAGCTTTTTAAGGGGCACTCCCTGATTCTGACCAAGAGGCCTAATCCATAAGGTAGTGTAGCAACGTTCGGGATGCATCCCGATGGTATCCGGTGACCAGGAGTAGGTTCATACACCATTTGTTCCCTTAAGATCCTGGAGCCGATGTGCACCATTGGTTTGGAATCAGGGTTTTCCGACGCCGCTAGGTAGGCGTCCGTATCCACCAACCCGGTTAAAGCTCTGGACATCCCCTTTTCATCCTCTTAATTTAGTAAACAGCACCCCCACCACGAAAAGGCAATGAGTAAGATTTCCCTGCTAATGACTTTATGCGCGCAGCCTAATGAGAGCGTTTTAAGAGGGAGAGCGGATTTTCCCCACTCTCGGCCGTATCAGGGATTCGGGGGCCTAAAATGGATTACTAACTCAAAACTTATGCTTGATCTTTTTCCATCTTATGTGTTACCGGACGGAACATATGATAATATTCTCCTGCGTGTAATTAAATTAATTTCTGACGCTAGTATTCTAATACTTTTATTTAGATAAAAACTGCATCATCAAGGAAGATAATAAAGAAACAATCCCAACTAGTCACCTGAAGTTTACTAAATTCGATAGTCAACATCTCTCCACCGCTTTTGAACATCATCAACAACATTTACACTCGAACATTACATCTATAAAGCCAACTACATTCATTTCAGAACCCCGACTTGAAACAATGACTTATGAAGGACCAATGTGTTCTTTAAATGATCCAGTTATAATTAATACATTACAACGTAAATCTAAAAACACACTTGATAATCAATCAAAATCTGCTTCATTTACTAATTCTCAATCATCTATTAATAAACAAAATTGTCAACAGAAGACAATCACTAATCAACACCTTACAACGCAACCACTGACAACAACAGTTGTAACAGGTGGACGTCAACCACTTTCATCGAAAGATATATCTGAGCCATTATTACAAGCAACTACATATAACGAAAGTTTATCGGATCTAAAAACAGCTAGATTGAGATTATCACAGAAAGAATTTGAACTTTGATTATTATTTTCCGTTAGTCGTCTGTCCGTTGATGGGTTTCTCACATTTATTGTTTAGAATTCTGATCTATTCCCATTAAATGTTGTTTTCTCGCAATTCATTCCAATAGAAAATGAATATATTAATAATAAGGGAAATATCTACTATGAGAATTAAACATTTACATTGTACGAAATACACCAATATAGTTATTATTTTCAATAAATGTGATAATCTAGTCGTGTTGCTTTTTTGTGGTTTTATCTTTATTCGATTCGGATCGTATTTATTTAAATAGTAATGATTCATTTATTGATATTAATCGATGAACTCTCTTGAAAAGTTGACGTATAGTTGGATATTCCAGGCCGAATTCAACTCAGGCTGATAGAGATTATTATGTAAGTGATTTTGTTTTTATAAAAGATAATCTCTTGTTTTTGTGTGTATTTGCTGATGTGATGAATTTCACTTTCTTGTTCTTATATATCTAACACAATTCGCTTGTATACAACTAATTGTTCTACTTATCTTCCAATCAACATTCATTATAATAATAATATTATTCTGGTGTGAAATAACCTTCATGTTCATTTTAAAGTCCACTTTACTTATAGAACTAATGGAAACAATGATCAATTGGTTATCAGTGATATAAACATTTATATATTTGCTTATGTGTGTTGTTATTGTATTTATCTTAGAACTTTCCGCTTTTATAGATGACTGCTCTTGAATTCTTACTTAATTTGAATGTCAAAATTAACGATCTGTGACATGTTACATATAAAAATTAGTAAAAATGTCGATTAAATTCTTGCCTCCCTACTTTTCAAATATTCTCTAATTGCCTTTTTTGTTACAAAAATATTTATTATAATATATTTAATAAAAGTATTTTCAAGCAATCCAATGAGTTATTACATGTGTACTGAGTGAAATGGTAGAAGTTATAAGTCAACAATCGTCATATAACACATAACTAGTGATGTAAAAAATTTCAGCTACCATATTTGTTTATTTATTCTTTTTAATTATGATGATGATACGTACTTCATGCTCAGGTTTTGTTTTTTAATCTTATATTTATGTGTAAGCGGAATTAATTTACCTCTTTAGTCGCCTTCATCAATCAGCAGATTAAAAATATATATATAGTGTGAAATCGTGTGTTTTGGTTTTTTTCTTCACTACCACCAAATTAAACGCATAGACCCTCGAGAGTAGAAATAGAAAATATTTTATACCTTTTTCTCAAATAAGTGTCTTTGTTGTCAACAGTGTGTGATTTGGGAAGCAAAAATGAAATATTGTCTATTGTTTTTTTAGCTATTTGTATTCTTTAAAACAAAACTAATTACTCTGGCAAGTGTTTATTACATTTATTGTTTTGAACAAGATCACGAATACCACCAGTCTGAAAACAGAAGGAAAAAAGTACAATGAGGATGTTGTATTAAAGTGTATTTATAGAAAAATAAGCACAGTACGTAGATTATTCAGAAATGTTATGTTTTTATTGTTGAATAATAATAATTTGTTATTATAATTAATAACAAGAGATAAAGAACATTTCTAATTATGATGTAATCGTTGTTTGATAAAAAGCATCAATATGAAATCCAATTCTCAAAGATATATATGTTCATGTCGTTACATCACGTTACCCTCTATGTAAAAATTAGTTAGTAACTGTACATAAACCTTTAAGCATTTAGAAATTATCCAATGAATATAATTTTGCTATACTGAAAACAGATACGCAAAATAAATTGAGTTTTCCACACTTCGATCTCTAGTTTAGTCGTTTTTTTAATATTCTCATTATGTGATTTTTTCATGTATAGTGCGCGATTTAGTTTTAATCTATCACTTCTTAAAATTATAGCGAAACAGTAGCTTTAGTGTGATCATAGCATTCGTCTTTCAACTACTTTTTAGATTTGAATCCCACAACACGCACTATTACTAGCTCTCACAAAAAAGTGTAACTCAAAGCAAAATACTCAAACGTATACTTCATGAATGAGTTACATCAAAAAGAGGAGTAATAATTCTTAATGTGAACAGCAAGATGAAGTGAGATTCGACTGTTGGAAGAAACAACAATACCATATAATGACGCTACATATTTGATGTTAGTGAATAAAAAGTTTTTATTCGGTTACTTTATCACATTTCTTCCTTGATCAATAAATACCAATCGTCACGGAGGAAGCCATCACAAAAGTGTTTGGTATAAAAAAGTATTTATAGATTATAAGAATAAGTGTAGCATAACCTTATACCGGTGTTTGTTTGTTAATAAATACAAAGTTCCGTTACATCTACAAAATTATGTCTCAACACTACTACAAGCACTAATAACCCAAGAAAATATTGTGTTAACCTACTGTAATTTGATAATATCCAACACCATATGGTCTTCCAGGATGTTTCAGCAGTTTTACTTGACGAATACCTGTAGTTAGACGTGTCAAGAAAACACGGAGAGAACAAATATGCCCCCAACTATCTCCAAGTGCCGGTACTAGACATGAATTTTGATCGATTCTGCATTGCTCTTTTACAACTTTCTCTTCTTCTATAACACAATCAAATTGTTCTGAATTCAGATTTTTCGCATTGAATTTAGTTGTAATTTGATTTGTAAGAATAACCTGAAAATCATAAACTAAATGTAATCAGAGTGAATTAAATAAACTAAGTAGAAATCCTACTATTTTTGTAAGTCATTTTTATTTGAGAAACAAAAATACGCTAGTAAAGCGTTGTATTTCCAAACATTTGATATTGATGTTCACCTAAAGCCAACAGTCAAACATGATTGTTACATATGAATCCATCCACATCAACATATATGAAACGCACTATAATACACGATAAATCAAACGAGTAATGCGTTAAACAGCTGAGAAGTCCAAATATTAATTGTCAATCTTTTGTATGTGAAAAAGATGTATAACTTATTGGGAGGAATTTAAAAGCAAAAAGATCTCCAAAGATTAGTTTTAGTTACGAAACCGGGCCAGTCAACCAAATAAGGACTCGATATGGCGAGTACAAATTTAGCCTAGTAATCGGGTATTTAAATTCTACTCGTTGCTAAACGACATAAAGTAAACCCGTACATTACAATTGTTTACGTTTAAAGTGACAATTACCTATAAATGCTATTCGTACTCTATATTTTGTGTCATTTTTCCATTTCACTGGGATACTACTTCCTTCGCTAGTCAGTTCTTTTTTTTTCTTCTCAAATACGTTCGTCAAGCGGATGCTACGAGTCGTAAGTGTTATTTTTTGAGTAATCACCACCAGGCTAAACTATGCATATTAATTCAGACAATCAGTTCTCCTTGAGGTCGATCACAAACAGAAAACTGTCTTAATTTTTCAAGATGTTTGTGTATGAACACACATAAACAATAAGTGGTTCTACAGTAATTAGCTTATGTTAAAACTCCCATTGAAGGTGACTTACTCAGCAACAACATTCAACTCTCAGCATAGATAGGCACAAAGCTATCTGGTTTAATATAACCGGACAGAAAAAAATGTCAATCAATAAGGGAAGTTAGTTTACGACTAAACAAAGAAATGCAAGGATGAAAATTGTTTGGTAAAAACGTAGTTACTCATGAGTAGCACAATTATGACACATAAATCACGCATATCAACATTTCACGTAATTGCCGTCTTCTCTAGCATAACAAATGGTAGAGAAAAGTACCCTTCCGTAGTTCAAACAAATAAATGTATCATAGTGAAGAAACACTAACGAATGGTGATCATGGACTTATTATATTTTAATTAAACCCCACTTTAACACAACAAGGTGATTAAGGCATGAATAATATCTTATTGTGGGAATGATTTGTAAGAATAAGTGAAGCAGTATCTGAATATGTGTTACTCACTCACTGAAAGTTGAGTATTTACTCTTCCCAACTAGACTGATAATTAAAACGATAATCAAAATATTGAAAATAAAAAAAACCATATAAAATAATCCAATGTACCATAGTGTATATTTATTTACTGGGATGAAACTAGAATAACAAATTCGTCAAGAATATACCATAAATATTGAGATGACTTACCGCAGCCTGTTGACGCCCAGCAACACAGAGTAACATTTGTGTTACACTTGCCAATAATCTATTACGTTGAGGAATATCGTCAAAATCGTAACGAAATGGGAGAGCGATACTGTCAACCACAATCAGTCGAATCTGAATTAAGATCAATAAACATTTGTGGCTAAAATCAGCTATATCAGAGTTGATGAATTTCCTTAAAAAGTAAAGGACCTCTTCACCGAGTAAATTTTTCTCTCTTGATATTTCAACTGGTAATTTCCCCTAATTTAAATACGAATAACTTCAATGTCTTAAATCCCACTGAACTAAAGAAATATTAAAATAATACTTAGTATGTAACTGAAAAGAATTATTCACTTCACATAGAAGTAGTAATACGAGCCAAACTGTCAAATAGACACACTAAACAAATTGTTTAGTAGTTTAGGTTATTTTTATATCAGCACGATTTGCTACATATACTATTCAAGAAATATTAAAATACCAACTATAATCGGTTGTTGTTTCGCACTGAGTTTAACGTTTGACATATGAGAATCCATCGGCATATTCCAATACAAAAGTAGTCCAGACTACCTTTACTTGTGAGATAAATCACTTTCATCCATAGATAATAGAATAAATTCAACGCATTTAAGATCATATACATAATAATAATAATTTACCAAAGGATGTTGATCACAAAATTGTTCTAAATGTCGACAAACAGCTAATAACTTCAAATAATCAGTTATTCGTATGTAGTGAATTCCAGACATTAGACTTTCAACAGTTGGACAGTATTTTTTAATGAAAGATTCATCTGTTCTTTCCGGATCTATTAATAAATAAACGTAATAATACTAACAGTTATGAAATATTTGAGGGGTTTACATAAGTTAAGAGAATTGAGTCAGTGAAAAACAGATGAATGAAGATAATTTTAGCATGCATAAAATAACAGTTAACTTAGCGAAAGTTGTGTAAAATAACATAAACGTTTACCTGTTATGTCCGAGCAAAGATTAAATCACGAGTAACTTCTGAGACATAATAACTGACTAATATTATCTATATATTCTTATGGTGTAACTATTCAATAATTAGATTATGTATATTTATATTCCTCTTATAATAAGCTTCATTTTGACCTATAATTTATTATTATACGATTTACTGTCCCTAAATTATGCTTAGTTTATCAACTACTGCCTCCCATGTTCACAGTCACTTTTTGGCTTTATTGTGTACAAATGTTATTTCCTATTTTATGATGCGTTGCGGTCTGTTTGGTTGATATATAAATCCAGTATGTCTAAAATAAAATATTCGATTCGCATAGTGGAAGCTGATATTGGTGTTCTGGACTCAAGTGGACGGGATAGGCGGACACAAGACCAATAAGGACGTTAGGCTGCCCTTACCGGTCGAACGTCATTGGTTTGGCACGGTGCTAAGACTGTATATGTCTTATTTTGATCGGTGGGTAAATCACGTGATAAAAAGCCGGACATAAAGTCATAACATTACCGACTGTTTATTATTAGTTATAATAGTCAATTTTATTGTTTTTGTTATTCCTATAGATTAATTTCTGAATAATATTCAACTAAATATTACATCTTTCGAAATACAACTTAACTGTGATCTATAAATGCTGAAGGGTCTAGTAAAACAAACCATCGAAAAGCATAATCGATCACGAAAAGAAAAATGTGGATATGAAAAGGTTTCGTGTAAATTGGTTTACTGTGCAGTCAATTTTCATCATAGACTGATTTCATCCAGGATACTGTTGAAAACCAAGGAGCACGTACAACTGCCTTAATCAAGTATGAATCTCCTTGATGAAATTGTACCATTAGACGCTAACATAGTAGCTCAGGGTTCATTGTGAGGCCGAAAGGGGTTCGATCCCGTAGAAACAACTACTCAGTCCTCCGTGATTTTCAATAGTACCTCAAATGATATCAATATATGATGAATACTAACTAAAAATGAAATGAGTAATAAAATGCCATCTCACTTGATTCAATATAATGATGTTTACAATGATCTGCCAATACAGAAGCTATTTGCCGAA